TTTTTTTTTTTTTTTTTCCTTTTTATCGTAAGAGTCCTGAAAAGCTGTGAATTTTATTCTCAGACACTGTACTGTCGACCAGAGTTGTAAATATTTCACCAGCACAAAAAACAAACGATATGTTTTGTAGTTTCACAACATATAAAAAAAGTTCTTCTCTTCTACTCGTGTGTTGTGTTTTTCTTTGTTCTGTCTTGACTATTAAAATGTTGGTATCTGAAAACTTGGCATTAAATTGTTGGCACTAATTAGCTTAATTACTCCTGTGGGACACCACAGGGTTCTGGACTTGGTCCCTTTTCATTTATTATATGCTGACAATTTTAGGACTACATGCCAATCATTAACTGGAGAGGAGGAAAAAAAAGTGATTTTTTTTAAATTATTTTTTTTTAATACGTTGTATTGTTGAGCTGATATGAGCGGAATCACATTATCTACAAAAAAGCAAAGATTTGATCCTGAGACAAAACCAGTCACTCTCCAACCAAAGTAAGAGGGTAAAGAGATTCAAGACCAAGATTTTCTTCATGCAAACACACCAAAATGACTTATGTGTGTCGTGTGGTAAGTATCACTAAAAACACGACCACTGACACGATAAGACTAACAAGAGATATGAAGAATATAAGATGTTGGACTGTCATCAATTAACAGACATGCATTTGCAGCAGTGTGATGTTGCACTGAATGTGCATGGGAGTATTACCAATTATAAATTAAACAATATGAAATCAATTTGATGAATATATTAAAATATTAACCCTCTCGAGGAAGGGGTTGCCGATTTGCAACAGTTAAAAACTAACAACCTGATTACCCCACATTCATATTTTATGAGGTTTTTTTTTACTCAGAAGTACCACTGCAGGACTTGGTTGTGCATTAGCAACAAAAAACTGAATTTGAGCCTGAGAGGGTTAAAAAGATCAGATAGATAGTCTCATATGGGAATGTCATCCTCTCTCCTGCTGCTTGTTTGTTTGCGTAGTTTGATTTTTAGGTCGACTTACAAAGAGCTGCAGCTGTTAAACATTTTAACTTTTTTCTATCTACTAAATCAGTGTTTCACTGTTATCGATACGGTGTCAGAAAATAAGCACAATCAGCTAAAACATCCACTGAAATCACGCCTGGAAGCTCCGATACAGCAGGAGGCGCTCTCAATCCGTCTAAATGCAGCGAGGAAGAAGCGCTCCCCGGCACCGGAAGTGGACTGTAAAGTTACGGGCTTCTTCCTTTGCTCCGGTTTGTATTTCGTCAGCCACGAGATTCCAAGTCCAGCAGACAGAAGAGTTTCTCCGCAGAGCTTCAGGAACATGGGAGACCCTGTGACCGAGTACACGGCCCGGCTGCAGCAACAGGTCAGCGGTTAATGCGAGCTGCAGGGCTAAATGCGCATCCTGCCGCCGGATAGCAACATTCCAAAGTTCTGCCAGACTTAATGAAAAAAAGTACTAATTTAAGATTTTTTGGCTTTTTATTGAATAGATGCAGTGTCGAGTAAACCAGACATGCTTTGATTGAATATCTATGCATTAGTGTCAAATTCGGGTTAAGTTTGTTAAATCAAACGTGTCTTGTTGTAGTCGGAGGTCCCTTTGATTTGTTCGAGGACACTGCTTTGACAGCGCATGAAGGAGGAATGGCATGAAGAGTTTTTACTTGTTAAAGAGCTGTGCTTCGTTATTATAAGTCACATATATGCCGAACTTACCAGATGTGATTGGCTATCACCTGTGCACAGTGGAGCCCAGAAAGATGAGTGACTACTGAAAATGAAAGGAGGAGTTAAATCGGAAGATTTTTTAATTGAGTCTGGCGAGAACATTTTTCTCTACTTAACCCTGGCATCAAACTTATTTTTTCAGAAAAATAAATATTTCACATTCCTTTTTGGGAGCTTGGAGCTCCGTTTTTATGATATATGATATGTATATGAATCAATAAATTACCCCACCCACCGTAAGGACATAGTCTGTACTTAAGTAGAAGTGCAGATAATCCTGTTTTAAAAATAAAAGTGAAAGTATCTCCTTGAAGGACATTTTTACCACCTGTTTTTATGCAAAGCTAACTGAACCTTGTACTTTATTGACATAATGATAAAATAATATCTGTCGTTGGGAATAGAAACTTTCTATTTTTTATTGTAGTTTGAATCTGAAGAAAAATAAGGAAAATAGAAGAAAGCTGTATTTTGTGTTACCTACATTGTAGAAGGTGACTTTGTGTTTAAACAGGAAAATGTGTCCAGTCAGGCAATAAAGTGGAGTCAGGAGGTGGAGGAATCAGTTGTCATGCCTCTGTGTGGGGAAAAGAATCACAACTCATAATTTCTATTGAGAGCTCCAGTAGATTTTCTTAGTGTACAGGCTGTGATCAGCTGACCTGCTGCTCTCTGTGGATGTACACAACTGAATTCAACCAGATGTGAACAGATGTATCAATAGTAGTCCTGGCTGATTTCCATCCTCTACACTCACACTACACTGTTTATGCTGTGTTTATACTAGACGGTATGAAGTTAATATGATAGTGAATTCAGTCAGAATCACAGCATCATCAGCTAAACTTTATATGAATCTCTTCTACACTTGATGTAAGCTAACTGTGACCATGAAGCCACAGCCACTGTGCAGCAGTCACACACTGCTCTCCACTTTAAATCCACCACATTGCAGCAAAGTAACCTGTTTATCCTGCACTAACCTGCAGAGTCACATATGTGAGGATTTTTTTTAATGCAGCCTTTAAATTACAGTTAGTCTGCCTCAGTTTGTTTACTAGCATGTTTCACAATATGAAAAAACCATAATGTCACATGTACAGACCCAATATCTGATATAAAAACATGAGCAGTCCTTACCTTGAAATCTAAGCGTTAAGCTGGTGTTTGCTGCCCTCTAGTGGAGATTAAGCAGGTTTTAATACACTTTGAAAACACATCAGGTGTGTTTTCACAAACACAAAGGTGTGAAAAAAAATCATGCTGAATATCTAACCAGGGCGCCAGCGAGCTTGTGCTCAGTCTGAGGTTTACCCTGGAGGCGTTGGACGGGCTGAAACATGACGTCTCCGAGGTGTTCAGTCGGATCAGGCAAGCGTTGTCTCATCGTTGCACCTGGTTAACGTCAGTAACACCAAAGCAGCTGAACCTGATTAATAACCTCCTCTGATACTAACTGATAACATCAATAATTCAGAAGTTTAACTAACTTCCTTTATTCTTTTGAACAGTGTATTTATAACTGTACCACTGTTTAAGGCCTTTCTGAAATAGTTCCTGTTAGCAGGTATTTAAACATGTTTGATGGGAGCTTAAAGAGCGCTCGTCTTTCTGGTTTGCAATGAAAACATTTCTTGCATCATTATTTGTTGTGCACACATTGTAAAACAAATACTTTCAGTTTTGCTTTGGTGAACGCTGTGCGCTTTAAAGACTTGCAGGTCTGCTTTGTTATCACTTTGTTGGTGTCCTATGTTGGTGTGTCACCAGCCCGACCTGAGCTAGACTTTAAAAGTCACCACAGCGATGTGTTTCTGAACTGTTCAGTGGACTTTAGGTAAAGTTGTCGGTTCCTAATTTTCCTTCTGTTTTGTGTGAAGCTTTCATCTGATTTTGGACACGTTAAGCGATGAGACGCTTTTACTGAATAAACTGAAGCGTAAATTTGATGCGGGTGTTTTCGCAGCGCAACTAAGCTGCTGGAAAAAGAGCAACTCGCTTTATTGTTTGATAAGAAGTAGTTATTAATTACTCAGTTATATGGTGTACTGAAGGTTGTCCTGCTGTGTGGTCGGTCTTTTAGTGGAGAGATAGTTTTGTATTTTCTTTTTTTTTTTTACTTTGTTGCAAATTTCAGTTTTGAATTTCAGTTGTTTTTGAAAACAGGTTTGCTTCATTTTAATTTTTATTGCTTGAAACGTTTAATTTTAGTTTAGTTTGTAATCTTTTGAAAGCAGTTGACTCTCAGTCTTGCAGACATCAGCTAAGCTATAACAAATATTACAAGC